CCCCCTGCTCTCTGCCTTCCCCCAAGTGCCTCCCCCAGCTGCCAAACAGCTGATCAGTGGCAGCTACCCAAACAGCGGTGGGTATTTTTTTTTCTGTGGGTAGTGCGCAGGTGCCCACATCACTTGGCAGCAGACAGTGTCCTTGTTGGCGCCACCAGCAGAGACCAACTAAACCATGGAGACTAAACTGCTGAGATGAAGCCCACCACAGCATCCCCTTGCCTTGCCAGGCTGTCTTTGCTCTGTGCGCAGCCAGCGGCCTTCAGCCTCCAGGGATGTCCTCCTCGGCACTGGCCCCCAGGCCAGGAGGGGGAAGCTGCAAGGGGTATGGGTGGTGTCTCTGGGACTCTGGGGCAGAGTTTCTCTGGGCGGCATCCACTGGCTCCTTGGACTCCTCCTCAGGGCAGTGGGCACTATCTGGGGTCCTCTGCTCAGTGTCCCCTTCTGGATCCCTTGTTTGGATCCTGGGACCTGCACCCCCATCCCTGTGTTCAATTCTGGGGTCTGTGTCCTCTTCTTGTTGGTATTGTGAGCTCCACCTACTACCCCCACATTTAAACAGGCTGACACCACACCTGATGCTTTTGTGGGTGAGGGCTTTTGGAGACTAGGGGGCATCCTCCCTCCTTCCTGCTGAGTTCAAATAGCCTGACCCCTTTCATGGGCAGTGAAATTCACACACAGGAAAACACCCCCAAAAATCCAGCAGCTGATTCTGAGGATCTGCAACTACTGAAGGCAGGAGTGGGTCTAGCCGCCTAACAGTGGGGCAGGGTGGTCGAGTGGGTAGGGCCCTGGGTTCAGACTTGGGTTCGGTTCCCGACTCTGACCTGCTGTGTGATCTAGGACAAGTCCAATCCCTGTTTGGTGCCTCAGTTTCCCCTCCCACCCTTTTTCCATATGGTCTATTTTGACGGTAAGCTCTTTGGGGCAAGGATTGTCTTGCTCTGTGTTTACATAATGCCTAGCATAATGGGGCCCTGTTCTCCACTGGGGCACGTAAGCGTTACTGTAATCCATTAATAATGATGGGTCTTTCCCGTCTCTGCTTTCTGCGACCCTGCCAGCTGCCTGCTCTGTGGTGAGGCCTGCTGAGATTCCACCGCTCCCTCTCCGCGTCTCACTTTTCAGCCTGGATTTTTGTTGACTCATGGTCTTGATTTGGGGAGGCTGGATAGATGCGATTTGTCTGCCACCATGTTTTCCAGCCCCAGAACAGCCTGCCAGACATAGTGATCTGGATGCTTCGAGGAGACAAGCGTGTGGCTTACGCCCGGGTGCCAGCCCATGAAGTGCTTTTCTCCAGGACCGGCGCCAACTGCTGTGGCAAGAACTGTGGGAAACTTCAGACGATATTTTTGAAAGTAGGTTGGGTTCTTCTTTTTGAATGTCTATTTGTTTTTCATAACATTTTTTTCTCCTCTTAAAAAATAACCAACAAAACCCAGCAGGGAAATCTGTAAACAGGGAAAAAATAAACCCAGCAGTGTCTGTAAAAATAGCAGATGTTTCGGGTTTGGATTCCGCTCCTATTTGGGATTGCAAGGTGAGGGGGAGGGGAGAGTGCTCTGGTGTATGTCTTTGCTCCCCAACTGTGCAGAGGGAAGACTTTACCCACAGTGGGTGAAGTTTGCCACCCAGTAGTCACCTGGGAGTCAAGAGATCTGGGTCAAATCCTGGCTTGCTGGCTGTGCTTGGGTAAGTTGTGTCCCCCCTCTGTGACTCAGTTTCCCCATCTGTAAATGGGGAGCATAGTACTTGGCCTCTGATGTCGGAACAAAATATACTAAAAATTATTAGCTTTCTGGAGGAGGTGGATTCCACACCCCTCCCAAAGGCACCTAGAGGTGTTAGTGTCAACTGCAGTGCTACACCTGCTTCATGGGCATAAAATCACAGAATGTCAGGGTTGGAAGGGACCTCAGGAGGTATCTAGTCCAACCCCGTGCTCAAAGCAGGACTAATCTCCAACTAAATCATCCCAGCCAGGGTTTTGTCAAGCTGGGCCTTAAAAACCTCTAAGGATGGAGATTCCACCACCTCCCTAGGTAACCCATTCCAGTGCTTCACCACCCTCCTAGTGAAATAGTGTTTCCTAATATCCAACCAAACCTCCCCCACTGCAACTTGAGACCATTGCTCCTTGTTCTGTCATCTGCTACCACTGAGAACAGTCTAGATCCATCCTCTTTGGAACCCCCCTTCAGGTAGTTGAAGGCTGCTATCAAACCCTCATTCTTCTCTTCTGCAGACTAAATAACCCCAGTTCCCCTAGTCTCTCCTCGTAAGTCATGTGCCCCAGCTCCCTAATCATTTTCGTTGCCCTCCGCTGGACTCTCTCCAATTTGTCCACCCCTTCTGTAGTGGGGGCCCCAAAACTGGATGCAATACTCCAGATGTGGCCTCACCAGTGCCAAATAGAGGGGAATAATCACGTCCCTCGATCTGCTGGCAATGCTCCTATTAATACAGCCCAATATACCGTTAGCCTTCTTGGCAACAAGGGCACACTGCTGACTCATATCCAGCTTCTCGTCCACTGTAACCCCCAGGTCCTTTTCTGCAGAACTGCTGCTTAGCCAGTCAGTCCCCAGCCTGTAGCAGTGCCTGGGATTCTTCCACCCTAAGTGCAGGACTCTGCACTTGTCCTTGTTGAACCTCATCAGATTTCTTTTGGCCCAATCCTCCAATTTGTCTAGGTCCCTCTGTATCCTATCCCTACCCTCCAGCGTATCTGCCGCTCCCCCCAGCTTAGTGCCATCTGCGAACTTGCTGAGGGTGCAATCCAGCCCATCATCCAGATCATTGATAAAGCTGTTGAACAAAACTGGCCCCACGACTGACTCCTGGGGCACTCCGCTTGATACCGGCTGCCAACTAGACATTGAGCCGTTGATCACTACCCATTGAGCCCGACGATCTAGCCAGCTTTCCATCCACCTTATAGTCCATTCATCCAGCCCATACTTCTTTAACTTGCTGGTAAGAATCCGCTGTTCACTGGGGAGCTGCTCCTGCTCACACTCGCAAGGGGAAAATGTCTCTTGGTGCAGTGCTCCTCCACTGTAGCCACAGGGCTAGCTGCCACAGCAACAGCGTAAGCATTCCCGGGGCTGGCTGTCCTTAGCAGCAGAACCTGCTTTCAACTCCCAGCAGGTACTGGGAGCTGTCGTGGAGAACCCACTCCAGAATGTCCGTTGGCACTGATCTGTGTGCCCAACACCAACGTTTTCACTGCCTCCCTCTTTCATAAGAACATAAGAATGGCTGTACTGGGTCAGACCAAAGGTCCATCCAGCCCAGTATCCACCGACAGTGGCCAGTGCCAGGTGCCCCAGAGGGAGTGAACCTAACAGGCAATGATCAAGT